CAGGTGAAGTGACGGCTCTAAATGCACATAAACATAAATGAATGATGAACAACATTTGTACCACTAAAAGGTTTTAAGAATAAATGATTAAACAGCTATAAAAAAGCTTTGTCAAAAAGGTGCAATGTATAACTAATATATATGGGAGGGTTCGTTTATTTATTTATTTTTTTAAAGCCATCACACACAGAGGTATGCAAAATATGGGTTGGAGCGTTCCTCACTGCAAACTATCTAGAAATAAGTAAAAATTTCTTAAATTAAGTGTATTCACCCTTAATTTGAGCAGGTAAATGAGAGTTTGCCAACGGAATGAGTAATTTTACTCTTACAATAATATAATTAGATAATATGCACTTGAAATAAGACAATGCAATTGTGTTTTCTTATTGTAAGTGTAAATTGTCTTGTTCCATTGGCAAAATGTATCTTTTACCTCCTCAATTCAAGAACAAATGCACTTATATTAAGAAAGAATTACTTATCTAGATTTCGATTTTTTTTGCAGTGTTTATGCGTTTTACATTAAACCAAATACTATGCTAGAAGTTTCTTATCTTATCATAGGAATGAGAAAAAAAGGAAAGATTGGAGAATCTGTTCTGTGAAGGTCTGGTGTGAAGTTTCTGCAGTCAGGTCTGATATAATTTTGGTTCTGGTGGTTTTAGTATAATGTGTTATATGAATTTTAAAGATTAAAAAAACCGCTACCTGTACCAGGAAATTCTACAGCATTTATTTTTATTTTTTCCGAGAAGCTTAATAGAGATCTTGCTTTCATTTCCAAGGTGACCTGCCAACACTGCCAAAGATACCAAGGCCCGGTTTGATGACCGTGGTAACTCCTAGATGAATAGGTTGGCAAAATGGCCTGACCTGAACTCTTCAGAGAAACTGTGGGGGGATGTCAATAAGAATAAGAGGGACAACAGATCAAAAAACACAAAGGAGCCGAAGGTTGCTATTAAAGCAACCTTTAATACCTTCAAGAATAAAAGAAAACCTGATCAAGCACTCAATGGTTTTATAGCGCCATTTATGGGCATACTTCTAAGCATGTATCTAACTTCTACCTTTTATTGCCCTTATATAATACTTTTTTGTTTGTTTTCACTAGCTGTGACATATCATAATCAAAGATCAGAAGTAAATATAAATTGTATCCCCCTATGTATAGTAAATATATTTGATAGAGTTTTAGCTTTTTTAATCAAATTACTGAAAATACAAATTTTCAACAAAGTTCTTACCTGCTTAGATGCTCTTATATCAGTGGGGTCTTTTATTTGGAAAACATAAGGAAGAAGAGTGTCTTTATGCTCTAAAGACTTGAGTGCTCTGAACCATAATGCAGCCTGCTGATATCTGACTGCTGTGAGGTATTGCAAGATGGTGCAAGATTGACATCTAGTGGTTTGAGGTACAAAGCACACAGTAGTGAGATCATCCAGCGATTATGATCTCTGCTTTATACTTGTTTATTCATTGCAATTGGTATAAGAAACTGTGGAATTAATGTAATGTTGAATGAATATAATGTCGATTGAATTTTTATTCTTTATTGGAGTAATAAGAAATCATATGAGAGCAGGAACAGGAAATTCCTGGCCTTGAAAATGAGAACAAATTACTTTGTATCTATATCTGCAGTCACCTAAAGCTGCTCAGTGTAATAAATCATTATATTTTGCATGACCTCAGATGTTGCTCGGGAAGACTTTGCCATGCAAATTTGAGGTGAAATGATTAATTGCTAGCTAGTAAAGAGCTTTTGTTCCATCTGAAAATTGTGTTCATTTTCTATGTTTCTATTAAAATATCTGCCATTCAGTAGAATAAAAAAGGTTGTTATAACCTGGATACACTTTGGTGTGAGATCAGGACTGTTTAGGACGACTACAGTCTGGATGAGCGAATATTTAATCCTCAAATACAAGCTAGTGGGTCCAGGAGCAGATGGGTCTGGACCATAACAGCACTAGCACAATAATTGTCTGAGGGTGGTCTCTGGCAGCAGCATCTCTCATATGAAAGTCCAGCTCATCTATCTATCTATCTATCTATCTAT